AAGGTAAATAATTTATTACCTTATATGTGGGACACACTAGAAGTCTCTAGAAAAGACGGGAAATTTCTAACAACTATCAGAATACTTTCTATTTCGATATGATTTTATTATTGCTAATTCTTATCGGCCTTATTAATGTCTCGGTTGCATTTTCTTGATGATGATTTTATTACTTCAATTAATACTTTATTCAGATACTTGTGGAGAGAATGAGAAACTTTTTAGGCAATTTAACTTGAATACTTCATTTGGAAGTTCAATTTTGTAAGCAGAACAAATTAGAAACGTATCAGCTTATAAGTTCAAAAATCAAAAAATCGAAATATTCAAACCGATTTATTCGAAATCGAACTTAAAAAATTCTATCTAATCTGAGGTATTTGAATTGAATTTAGATTGTCATTTCTTCAGTTCCAAAACGAAAAATCCACCTTGAATTTTTCATATTCAATCTGAACCACCCGAATACTGCCGGCCCCTAGATACAAATATTTGTGCGCCACAATTTTGGAAACTCACATAACTGGTCCTACAATTTATTAAATACACATTCCCCTTTTCGTACAAGCAACGCAATGTAGTTTTTGTTTATATTTGCAACGGAATATATAGTCCGCAAAATCGCTTGCCAATGTGCAGAAGCATCTCTTCATTCATTTACTGCAATTTTGTCTTAACTTTTGATAATTAATTCCTAAAGTTTGGTTTCTCAAATATGGATGACATAAACATTCTTAATTATTCTTTTTATCTTAAGCTGCAAGAATTTCTTGAGGCGCAGAATTTCTCGTAAATGAAAGTTACAAATACGGAGAAGCTTTGATATAATACGGAAAGCTACTCTCAAGGAAATGGAATTCTTTTCTCCTAGCCAATTCAAGTCACGTAGCTTATGAAAGATTTTCAATAATCTGTTGCCTTTCCATTGTATCCTAAAAAAAAAAAAAACCTTAAAACTTAATAAACCAATGCCCACAAATTCTAACTTATAATACCACTTTTAGGAAAAATGTCAAATAAAGTTTAGCCAGCCTGTGCATAGCTGGAAATGCTTAGATTTTTCTAGAAGAGTAATTCATTACACGAATGTTGTTGTCATTAATTCTAATCTTCCTTATTATTGTCTGTGAAAAGAAGTCTCAAGATTACTTGGTGTATATATAACATTTTATTTAATTTTCAATTTCTAAATTTTGAAGATATTCAAATGATATGTTGTCATACATGTTGACAGTCCGTTTATGAGGGAATTTGTGAAAGAAAACTTTATACCAATGAAATTGTCAACTGCTTATAAAAAGGAACAACAATTAGGGGAAATGACCAATATTACACAAAATACCTTTATTTTATCCTCGTTATTCTTTCGGTTTGTTGATACCCTTTGTGCTGTTTGTCAATCGTCTCGTACAATTTATCCTTGGTTTTAATGGAGCCCAAGCATTGGAACAAATTTTGAATGTAGGTCTAGATTTACCCTTGTACTTTTAACGGATTTACAGTTTTAATTAGGTCACGGTAGAACTTTATTATTAAAGACAAAAAAAATATAAATAACTTCAAGAGTATGAATTGCCCCAAAATATATCTGGATCCTTTTCCCTAGTGATTAAAATATTACATACCAATATGCAATGTTAAGAATGTCATGCCCGTTGTTACCTAATTAGAAACTCTTCTCAAATTTCTCTTGTACCATACATCTATGGGGTATCCAAGTGATAAAGTCTAGAAAATAAAAGTGGTATCCTAGTCAAAAGATTAATATGGAAACAACATTAAAACAACAGGAATAAAACTTCTCACTTAATTAATTATTAAGAATACCTTGACACTAAATTGTAGTAATAAAGTAATCCTCTATAAAAAGGGGAAAAAAGAAATATTTAGAGAATATTGGTAACAGTTATCTGGTGAGAGAAGCGTAGTTGTTTGTGGTGGAGGCGCTCAAATTTATTTATTTATTTATTTACTTATAAAAAGAAGAGAACTCCCCTCCTCCTCAACTCATCTTTATTAGGGATTTGCCCTCTGAATCTGAAAGAGGCATATTTCACGTTTGTGCGTGATTCTGACAACCATTTTTCATCATTAAATCTATTTTTATCTCATTGGTTGTGTTTGTTAGATTCACGCACAAACTCGTAATATGACTTTTCCTCTATCTTTGCGCTTTGGAAAAAGATTTCCCATCTAGGTTATTGCATATATTTGTATATTTTTACTGATTCTTTGTAATTTGTAGGGAGAAAGCCTGTTTGCAGAAATGCACAGGGAATGCTATGTACTATAGACCCGAAGCATTTAGGGGTAAGTCTTTCTATATAATGAATGCTTCAAATCTGCAGATGCTCTTTAGATTAGAATCCATGATACTTTCATTTGTCTTTTTTTAATTTTGTTTTGTAGCTTGATTTCTTGCATATAGTGAATGTATTTGGGGTAGAATATGAGCTTAATTAAATTTTCTTTTGTATTTTCTTACTTATAGATCTGAATAGAACGGAATGGGTACAAAGGATTCATATAGTTGACTCTACTAATTTTGATTGATATTTTTAGCTTGCTTCAGTTTAGGTAATTCCATTAAACAATTTAAGGGGTAGCACTTGGCCGATAAACTGAAGATGGTCACAGTTATTATACATTAATATACGAGGTTCATTGATTTTCAACTGAAATAAAAAAAAAAAAAAAATGGGGAATATAGTTTCTTGCTAATCTCGACTTAAAAAGGAATACTGATTTCTCACTTCTCCCGCAATATAAACATCTCTCCTTTGGCACAAAGAGTTCAACAATACCTAAACAGGTTTAGAAAATCATAGAATAGTTGTAATTTCTTTATTAGTTTCAAAAAGTCCATTCATTAATGGTTTAATCCATCTTTAGATTAGTGAGTGAAGTGCTGTTTGGGAATAGTTAATGGTTCATGCTTTTCCCTATTAAGATTTCCTTTCCTCTTATTTACGTGTGGCTTAACTAACTGACTGCTTTTTAATAGAGAAAAATTATTGTTAATGATTTGAAGATAGCTCAATATGAAACACTAATAACTCCGCAATGAGAATATATTGTTGTACAGATTCAGTTAATCCCGTTAAATATGTCATGGGGTGGCAGTGGCACTTAAAACTTCAAATTCACGAATTGGTTTTTTTCTCTTCAGCTTAAATGAAATAATAGTATATGCCAGCACATCCATCTTACTTAAACAACTTAACATATTGTATAGAGAAAATGGATAATTATGGTGTTAGTAGTTCTGTAGACTGTAAGATCCAACAAAGAATCAATGAGCGAAAACTCAGATCTCATTCTATGCTTCACTAACTTCTGTCTCTTCTCTTTGAGTCTTTGTAATTATATATTGTATCACTGCCTAAATTGTGAAAAACACAATAGGGATAGTTGTTTTCACAACTGCATCTGGTTTTAATATGCAGCATGGCTGGTATCTTCCTACGTCATATCGTTAACTCTTAGGTGTACTCCGTCTTATGAATTGATTCTAGAATTACTTTACAGCTCATTACACTTCAGGAGCAGTTGGATCGGAGAATAACTCTAAAAAGTTCGCTACTATGCTATGTCACGTGAGTCTTTAACAAGTATGTATTTCCTACGAGTGTGTAAGTACCTGGTTTGGTATGTACAGTTCAACATGTGTACGTCAAGACAAATGAAAGATCCATATAATTGCTACTATGTCTAATTCTCCAGGCAGGTGTAATTGAAGATCTGTTTTCAAGACAAACTAAAGATCCATATGATTGAAGATTTGTTTCTATAAACAGGAAGTCATTTTATATGCTTGGATTTTTGGTATCTAGCTGTTTGTGAGACATGAGCATAAATAGTGACTTGGGGTTTGAATCAGTTTCTACTGTTCTAGGATACATCTTATTACAATTACAGTTAAATGGATTAGCTACTCTATGTTTCTGCCGCTCTTGTTTTTCTTCTATTTTTGCACAACAAAATAACTAGAGGATGCATGGGTTACCCTGAAGTGTGGGTTTGTTTGTTCTGTAAGCTACGGAAAGGAAACAGCGTAAAGCATTACGTAAAAAGATGAATGCTAGTTGTTTAGGCTATCATACTTGGATAATAAGCAGAGGAACAGAGAGGGAGAAAAAGAAGTAATTCACTATTGAGCTGTGAAATGGAAATATTAAGTGGATTATGTTTTCATGATGTCAAAATTGGAAACTAGCAGGTTCCTTTTGTCATGTCGAACATATTTTAGTTTTATTTTTGGAGCACTTGATACTTTTTTGTATTTCTTTTGTCAATTCTGAAAAGATCCTACTCAGGTTTCATTTGCAAAACTTGGCAAGTTAGTAGGGTTCTTTGATCTGCTCTGTGACACTAGCTCATGTTCTGAAATGAAAGGTAAGGGGAAAAACTGAAAGAAAAGAGGGTAACTCGATCTTTAGATAGTTTGAAGGTGAGATTGTGTGCTTGAGTTATCGAAGGAAAAAAAATTGATCATTCTACTTAACTCCTCTTATCTCCGTTGGCACTATATGTTTAGCATGTCATTGATCCTTTGTTCATAATGGACATTAATTGATCACAATAAGAGGAGATGAAGGCACTGTTGTGATAATGAATTTCCATCTGCTGTATGAAATTGTGTTAAAGGGAGAGTTGATCAGTTACCATCAGAAATATGTGCAGCAGGGGAATATGCTTACTGCTCCGCATTCGGGAGCTCAACAAAAAATGGTTGGGAAGAAATTGATGATTCAATAAGGTAAGTTCACTAGCATTGAAAAAATAAAAAGATGCACATATTACCATCAGAAATATGTGCAGCAGGGGAATATGCTTACTGCTCCGCATTCGGGAGCTCAACAATAAATGGTTGGGGAGAAATTGATGATTCAATAAGGTAAGTTCACTAGCATTGAAAAATAAAAAGAATGATTCTGTAAGTTAAATTCTGCTCATCCGCATAAATTAACTACTACTACAATCTTTTTCTCGGGCATTCTTCAGTTTAGGAAGTCACTCAATATGGTTGCAACATTCTTAACAAACCCTTTCTTGTTGGTCTTTTCCTTTTCAGGCAGGTGCGCTCCTTGAAGTACTTCCGAAAGATGATGCTTGCAATAGGTTCCATTCTGTTCAAATGCCCTGTAGAGGTCAAGGAAAAGTTTATGCATGAAGTCACTGCCATCCATTTGCTTCTTGTAGTTCAACAGAATGTAGTGACCTCTTGTCCTAAAGTATCCCTCTACAAAATCTTGGAAGTTCAAGGGGGGTTCCCTCAGCATATAAAGCATGCCCTTGCATGTCAAGGTTAAGGCTTTCTTGTATTTGAGCCATTCTAGGTTGTTGGATTCTCGCAAACCTTCTCTACCACCAGGATTTAAGAGGTTGGCACTCAAGACTGAAGTTTGAATAGCTGTGAGCACTTGCAATATGTCTGACTTTGGTGGATTCCACTTGTCTTGAACACCGCAGTACCAGTTACTCACGGAGATCCCATATTCCAAGAGGCTAAGGGAAACCTTGCCCTTGGGATCCAAATATGGATTCAAGTCAAGGTCATAAGAATGGTAGTGAATCCTTGGAGGACAATTGGGGTAATTTCTTGGAAAAAGTATGTCGAAGAAGAAGAGGCCATGGGCATAAGGGGTATCGGGTGGACCAACTAAGACTGCTCTCATAAGATCAATCCTCTTCTCATAAGACCTAACAAGAACGGAACTTGGAAGTTTGTTCTCCAACGAAAACCATTCGTTTTCGATCCTTTGGTGAAAGGTGCTTCCCGATACCATGTTCTTGAAATTTCTGTCATACGTTAAAAAGTGGTGATCATAGGGAGGATGAGGAAGTAAGTCAAATTTCTTGATCTGCTTAAACCTCTGCTCAACGTCATCTAAAATCTCTTCTATTTCCCCATAAGACTTGTTCGCCTTATCCATCTCTTTTTGTTTTTGGTGCTGCTTATTTTGGAGCGCCGTTGAAAACAACTATTTTCTGGTATATGTTCTCTGGAAAACCAAGAAAATATCCTATTTAATTTGTTCAGTGCAAACTCCCGAACAGACTATTGTGTTAGAATTCTTTTTCTACTATGATTCTAACAATTGTAATGTGCCCGTCTAACCCTGCACCAAGATTTTTGAGTTATAGTAGGAGTGAGTATTTGATGACTTGGGACTCAATTTTAGGAAATTTTCTTTTACCATTGGTAATAAATACGAGAGCAGATACGCCTCAACTAAACATGGGCGAAGCTACTTTTGAGCCACCCTTCGCCGAAAAATTACACTGTGTATATAAGCAAAATATTGATTTTAGATATATAAAATCTATATTGAACACCCTTTGTCGGAATTTTTTTTATACTTCTTTCAAGTTTGAACACCCTTGAAAACATTTTTGGCTTGCAACTAAAGTATGACATTTGTATTCTACGTATTCTTTTTATTAATTAGTATTTATTTTCTCCTCATTTATTACTTAATATGATCATAATAAAGTATATTGCATGTGTAGCATTGCATGGCCTATCCTCATTCCTCGTCCTTCTCTCTTCTGACTAGAATTATCTTATTCCGTTAGGATTATGTAAATGTTATGATGTATGTTATTTTATCTTTATCTCAAAATTGTAAGTGAATATTTTTACCCCACGTTGTAATTCTGTAAAAGTTTTGTATATCAGTGTATATAATCATGTATTAACAAGCAATTTTTTACTAACAAAACCTTTCAACTTCTCATCTGTGACACACAGCTAGTTCCTCCTTGCGGGAGCTTCATTCCTTGTCTTCACTTCACAGCGGAGTTGTTAAAAAATGCAATAAATCACTAGCTGCTAACCATATTCAATCTTGTTATTACCTATTTAAAGGTTAAAGAAGATTTAGTAGGTTTATACTTAAAAAATATCATAAATATTCTGAATAAAGTTATACGAGGCCGGGCACATCATACTCTTCAGGTGTCATGTCATGTCAATTTTAAGGAAGAAATTCAAAAATAGCCAGATTTACAATTGGTCATTCAAAAACAGTCACACTTTTAAAAGTAATCGAAATTTAGTCACTTTTCATATAAAGATAAATCTGAATGAGAACACTGTTCAAAATCTGGAAGATACTCTAGTATATTATATTGGAGTTCCAACATAAGTATATTGGAACTCCAGTATATTTATGCTGGAGTTTCAGCAAAGTATCCCGGTCCAGTATAATATGCAGGAAGTTCATACACAGGTGCTCGAATCTCCAGTATATTATGCTGGAACTTTTCGCTTGTTGGACTTCCAGCATAATATGCTGGAAGTTCATACACAGGTGCACCGAACTCCAGTATATTATGCTGGACATGTCTCTGTCATAGCAAAATAGTGGCTATTTTTCAATGACTTGGCAAATACTGGCTATTTTTGAATGACCAGTCCGAAAACTAGCTAGCCCATGCTATTTTTACCAATTTTCATAGTTACAGAACATCTTTAAAATTCATTCTCTCGCTTGAATTTCTGATAGACGATGGGCTGGGCGAGAGAACAGAATTTGAAAATTCGTGCTGCATCGTTGTATACAGGGGTATACACAAAAGATATAATCTGTATTGACTGCTATATATAAAGGATATAACTTGTATTAGATGGGGCTGGGCGAGAGAACAGAATTTGAAAATTCGTGCTGCATCGTTGTATACAGGTGTATACACAAAAGATATAATCTGTATTGACTGCTATATATAAAGGATATAACTTGTATTAATTGTATTCGTCCGCGGAATGAATACAATCAAGGTCAACCAAGGCAAAATAAAGAAAAATAGAATGCTCTTGTTAAGAGTTAAACTCAAAACCTCTATTTGCTAAGCAGGTGCTCTAACGAACTAAGCTACGAGGGCTTGTTGCTTTCTTGTTTCAATTCAAAATAATTGATCTCTTGTTTCAGTACTACATGTAAATTTGCTATAAAATTCAAATAGCTATAAATGGTGAATTTTCTGAAAGTATAACTAGGAGTGATAAATATATTTGTTGTGTCAGGTATTTTTTCCAATGACGAAACAAAAAGAAAAACGAATGAATCATGAAAAATACAGAAAATTTGTGTTGACAGTAGACTCGGCTCTTAGGTCAGAAAATAGGGCAAATCGATCCAGAAACATAAGGCCCATAATCGGCCCATAGGACAAAAAAAGGATGAGTCCCAAATCCCAATCAGGAGCTGCCACCGTGTCTTTGTTGGAAATACTATTGGGTCAGGTCCATCTATAAAAGGTACTTACTAGTTAGCCCATTACCATTAGTTAACCTTTCACTTAAAATGAGAACGTTGTAGATGACCAAATAGTAGTACAACGACCAGCCGACATGACCAAGATTCATGTGATAAACAAATCGATCCCTTTTTGGACATGGACATTTTTGTTGTTTGTTAGTATGATGGAAGACTCGTGTAATTACATGGGAGTTGGACAAATCAGTAGTGAGACCTGTTTTACCTCACCGTTTGGAAAAAAGATCGATGTTCAAAATTAAGGAGCGGTTTAGTCGGTTAATAAGCTGCGGACTGCGAGACAGTTGGTCACAAAACTTTTCTTGTTTAAGGAAGTTTCTTGTCCTTGTTAGAAATTGGTCGGCAGGTTTTGGATAAATTTAACTTCTCCACATACGTCTATCCAATTCTCTAGCTTTCCATTATTCAACAACGGCTTCTCAAACTTCACTAGATTATATTATTATTTTCCAAAATCTGAAGATTTTTCACTTAGATTACGTTACGTCGCCAGAATAAGCTAGAGTTAATTAGCAAAGGAAGGGTAACAGTTATCACAATACGTGTTGCACATCCAAATGTGCCTGATATCCAAAGGTAGGTGACGTTGTAAATTAAAGTAGTTGGAGTTAACCTCTGCTTTTGTCGTCACAAACTCTTAATTCCTTGGGAAGTTACATTAGATGACAAAACAAGCCTACTTGAACGTTCTCAAAGGTTATCAAAAAGTTTTTGTAAATATAATTGACAGTTCATGTAAGATTAAAGAAGCTATACACACTCACTTTACTAAGGCCTCATTTGTTTTTTTAATGATTAATACGTCTGAATCTGAATACACATCTGAATATTAAGATGTGTATTAAGATTAAGACATCTGAATCTGAATACACATCTGATTTGAATAGAAATAATTAAGACTATTTGATTTTTAACAACATAAAATTCAAACGAAATACTAACTAATCTAATATTCTATCAATAAAATATATAGTTTTTAAAATATGATAGTTGTTGGTGATGATGGCTAACGGGTGAATGCCGACTAGAGACGGTGGTTGGTGGTAGTTTTGGTTGATGATGGTGGTTCATGCTAGTAGCTAGTAGTGATTGGTAGTGGTGGCGATAATGATTGAGGATGGTGGTGGTGGGTGGTGATAGTTAATAACGGCGGGTGGTGGTAGTAGTTGTGATTGCGGAAGGTGGTGGTAGGTTATAATGATGGGCAGTACCGACTATGGTTGTTGATGGTGATGGGGTGGTCAGTTGTGGTAGTTGAGGCGGATGAGTGTTGATTGTGGGCGAGAATGATATATGGTGGTCGGAGTGGTGGGGATAGTTGGTGGTGATGGTCGATAATGGTGGCGGCTATGATTGAGGATGATGGTGGTGTGGTGGTGGTGGAGGAGGTGGTGGTGGTGGTGGTTGTTGTTGATTATGGTGGTGGTGGCATGGTGGTAGTTGATAATGGTAGGCGGTGGCGGCAGTTAATAATGAATATGTGATAGCATCTTAATGAAATTATGTCTCTGTTATAGATCTTAATCACAGACCTATTCAGACCCATTAAGTGGTTGTAAAGTAAAAAAACAAACACACTTAATAATTAAGATATGAATAATTAAGATTCAGACTTTAAAAACAAACACACTTAATGTTTGAGATCTGAATGATTAAGATTCAGACCTCCATTGAGTGCAAACAAATGAGGCCTAAAAGCAAATGATGAAAAGGTAACGGAAAATTAATCTCATAGAATAATCATAATTTTCTAGTTCTTGATTTTTTTGTTTCTCCCGAGGTTTTTTCTATCTGCTTTGAGACGTTGACTAATTTGAATTCGCGCGCCCATTAAAGGGGGGGACAGGAAGTGATTCTACAAAAAAATTGTCCATACTACGATTTAAATCGGAATCCTCTGATTAAGAAGGGAGGAATTCTATTTATCCATCCAAAACCCTTGACGATAGCTTTTGCTTTACTAATATTGTTGAATAGGTAGGCAACAATGGATGGAGATGGTACATTCGGGAACATTGGACATCCTTCTATCTTGTTTTTTCCTCTCTAATACTCCGTAGTGACGCCTTAACTGTCGGCTGCTATTAATGGAATCCACAAGAAAACATACCAAACATGGGTCTAAAGTCTAAAATTGCTTATTTAGTAATAATGTTACTTTTTAATTTTCTATTCAGTGTTTGACTAATTTGAATTCGCATCGCATAAGATTCATCTAAGAAAACACTTCTTGGTAAGAAGTTTTCATTCTCAAGACTTAAACTCCAAATTTCAAGTTAAAATGAAATGATTCTATTCACCCCACAACATCCTCAGTAGCATAATAATTTTCCTTTGATTCGGCATTATTACAGTTAGGGGTGTTCACGGTTTGACGGAAAACCGATCCAAACTGAAAACCGAACCAAACCGATTAAGTAAACCGATATTTTTTTTGATTTGGATTGATTTTGGTTTTAAATTTTAAAAACCGATAATATTTGGTTTGGTTTTGGTTCTATTTTAAAAAACCGAAAAATAAACCGAACCAAACCGATTAATTATATATAAAATTTAATAATTATTTATATACAATATAATATCTTTTTGTTAATAATTTTAATTGTTAATTTTGAATTTTGGTTTATCCTGTTATATCTTAAAAGACTGCCTAA